GGTTATAAACATGCATGTTGATTATCATATGATTGTCAGCATTCGAGCTGTCAAGTTTTCGTTCCCTTCCACGGCTGTCAAAAGTGCCTGGTCGTCAAAATCCGATGGTCGACCTCTTCCTGGATTATCTTCCAAGCTGGTGTCGCCAGATTTGAAACGGGCAAACCATTCCCTGCATCGACTTTCGCTGATTGTGCCCTCACCGAAAAGTTCATTGAGATCGCGAAATGACTGCGCTGCTTTCCATCCTTTCTCAAATTGGTACAGCATAATAGGACGAATATGAGTATGCGTATCGACACGCATTTTTTATAACTTAAAAGAAGAATATTTGTACATAAATTTATAAAAAAGGGTTAATTTTTATTAAAAGTCGAAGAAACGCCTGATACTTTTGCAGCAACTGAATATATAGAGTTTTGAAACTAAGAGAAAACCATAGTCTGTTGAAATAGAGTAACGCAATCCATCACGATCATTGAAAGAAATAGCAAAAAAAATTTGCATCTTTATAAGAAACTTCAGAAAATTATTCCTTGCTGCATAGAAAGATCTATATGATAATGATATTTTCCGACAACAGTTTAGTTTAATGATGGTTTTTATTCCGATATCAGTTAACCTTAAATATGATCCTATGTTTCTTCTTTTTTTTAATACCAGAAAGAAATACAGCTTTTTTTTTATTTTTATACCCCCTTTTCCACTTAGACGGTGAAGCCTCTTGATTCATTAGTTAAGTTAGGATATTTGAGTATGCAAAAACGTACCAGGGCTAATTGCTTAGAAGTTCTCTGACATTTAAAAAGCAAAGCGAATATTGCAGTGGTATATTAAAAATACATGAACAAAAATCTTTATATATTTTCTAAAAAAGCAAACTCATGCGACTGAATGAATCGACTGAAAGCTTATTGACTGAAATGCCTTAAAAATAAGTTAAGGCATTTGATAAGCGAACTTATCGTTTTATTAACTTATTGTTTTTAATTTTAATTACTGACAAGACAATCTATGTACTTGGGAAATGGCTTGACAGCCTTGTTTAAAATCTTTGACGATTATATACCAATTCTTCATGGCACTGGGACCATTACTCTCAGCGACTGTTTATGTTACAGAGTGAGCATACGAAAATTAAAAAATTAGGAGATAAGTTGAAACTGGATGGGAACTTGTTTGGAAAAATGGAAGAGGAGTCAGGAGGCTGATCGTGAAATTGTTGCTTCTATAGAATTGTTACAATTAATACTATGCTGGGTAATAATTATATACTGATATAACTCCGTACTGGATTTCTGTCACAAGTATAATATACATATATATACACCCACTATTAAAATATATAAAAAATTCCGATTACTAAAGTTGATTTTGATACCTTTCATAAAAATATGCAAATTTTGCAAAATAAGCATGTCGATTATAAATGCATTGCAATAACTACACATATGCTAGTGAAATGTACCTTCTGATACGAGAACTAGGATTTTTACACATATAACACAGATAAAAATGTATGTATGTATGCCTAATACGGGAACTATTAGTATATAAAAGCTAATAATAATAATGCAATGCAATGAACAATCTTATTATTGAATGTTGCATGAACAATCCTATTAATATGAGAAAATATCTTTAAGTTTAAGATATGCATATTTTTTATCTACATGTGTATGCAGAACAACTCAGTTGACAATATATCGTGAAGCTATAGCATCATTCTGGAAGCTGTACTTTAACTCTCCGATCCGTTTAATTTCAAGAATGAAATGTTAGTATGTAGAGACATTAGGTATTTTGGAAGCAGAAAAGACGAAAAATATGCATGCCTTTCGCCGGGAATCGAACCACGGACCTCTGGAATACGCGCGCAGCGTGAAGACCACTACACCACGAAGGCGTGCCAAGAACGTGTGAGAAATACCTTATATTCTTTAATTTGCTTAAAAAGCGGACATATTACCACATGTGTATTTATCCCATGCGTAACTGCGTTCATTAGCTGGTTTCTGAAGATCAAATCTAACTATTTCTAAGCAGCTGAAAATGCGCGTCATCAGTGTCCCCGCACATACACTGGTTACTGTCCTAAAACTTGAAATGATTTAAATAACATACGTATATGCTGTACTTGACTTATTACTCGTTATATTTCGAAAGTATCAGAAAAGTATCCATAACAGCATATAACCCATAACTTTTACGCGCAGGTGATTCTTTGTTGAGGATAATAAATGAGTAAACGTTTTAGAGATTTTTCTGCTATCATAAGTAGAATATTCTTAAATTCAGTGACAGTTTCTTGCTTACCATTTCCACATATTTTACTGTATGCAGGCATATTTGTCTTTCTTTCTTGGTGTGTGAAGATTGCGAAGTATGAGCTAAAATTACGTGCTAGATGTTAGATTTTTCTATAGATATATGTATATTAACACATATACATTTTCTAGACGACAACAAACAGAAGAATGGTAGATATAAATAAAATAAGTGCCACAATAAAAACCCTGTTCCTTCCTCATGTGCTACAATAAAAATCATGTTTCTATATGTCTTTTTTCGAAGATAAAAAACATTATTGTAAAACATACGAATTTTATGCATTGAAAACTCAGAAAGTAAAGGTAGTTTTACGTGCACGCGTGTATTAAAACTGAAGTTTCATAATCTTTTTAGTAATATAGATTATTTATTTTTAAATTTATTATTAACATTTAATATTTACACTGCATAATAAGTCTTCCGTAAGTATATTTCAAGCGTGTTCATCAGATAAATATTTGATTTATATTTTTTTGTATTTGAAATGTCTGCACTTCAGTCTCTCTACTTTTCTCGTAACGACAGACTATATTACATCCTATCTTCATATCACTTTCCGCTTAGATTAATTTAACAGCATTAATGATATGTTAAGCCTGATAAATTGTCAATGCATAAAGCATAAGACAATTTTAATATATCTTCATTTATAAGTGTCTATTGCTTATTAATTAATATATACATATAAGCCCTTTAAACTTCTATGATATTCTTAATAATAGTTTAAGATTTTTCGATAACAAGCGTTTTATTGATAAAATTGTATCGTTAATAAGCTATCACTTACAGAGAGTGTTTGTCTATATATACAATGTATATACACAAGCTATTAGTGATAGTATACTAACTTGAAATATATATATATATATATTAACAAAAACATGTATATACGTAAAAAAGCAAATTTAAAATAATGTGCAAACATATAAAATATATATATATATATACGTGTGTGTGTATGTATATTTCAAATTCAATCTTTTTTCTAAATACCTTATGAGAAATAAACAAATAAAATGTAATTAGAAAATGAATTAAAGTATGAATTGATAAAGCACATTAATTCTTAAAAGCACTTTTATACTGAACAATAAAATTAATGTTGTCATCAACAAATAAAATTTTAAAAGATTACAAAAATAAAAATAAAATAAAATTTTTAAAACCTTAATAAACTTTAGGCGATGTCGTTTAATTTTTTTCGCATATGCTTGTTGTTATATTCTGTATATCTCATTAAAATAATTTTATTAAATGTATATATAATTAAATATATATACATATGTAAGCTAAAAAATAAGTAAATCCAAATTATAATTTAAATTGTCACTAGTCCCTTTATTACTCAGTTGTGTATTCTGTTCTAAAAATAGTGATTGCTTTAATAATTCTTCGGAGCTGCGTCGTTTCTAGATTAATCCATATCATACGACTTTTACACTATGATAATAACGGAACTCAAAATTTCTAGAACCGAAACATTCCTCTAAATAAGCTTCCATATTGGTAACTACGCACTTTGCTTCTACTCCGCAGCGAAGATAGACGGCTGCTTTCTACCTCTCTTCTTACCGCAAAGCTATGAAAATGTAAATATTTTGAAATGGGAACAGTAAGGCTTTCAAGTGATTTGTTACTGCAAATGTCAATTTAAAATGCGAATTAATCTGCTTCGGCTGCCAAGTTTGCTGTTCGCTATGGATCAAATCTGTAGCATTTCTTACAATACTATATATATGTATAGATATATATATAAAGCACATACATATATATATGTCCTTGTTTTATATAAACCATCAAGACTATTTGGTTGATTCTTCCATATATTATAATTATCATTTAGTTTTATTTTAAGCATATTTAATTACATAAATATATATACTTTACACATATCTAAGCAAGCTTTGTTTCATATTTATTGATATTATTATTTATTATGAATTGTGTACATATTTAACAGTTAAATGCTTTTGTATCATGGAATCAACTCGAAAGAATAATCCGAACAACGTATAATTTCGGTATATCCTAGCAGCTGGCCCTTTTCAAGCATTAAGCCATAATACTTAAATAATTAATATTTCTTCATTGAATCCAAAAATTGCAGACTTGCAAATTATTTTAGTTTAACGAATACCTCCTTTAATGCCTGAAATTTAAATTTCTTAGAACGTAACAAAATAATTTTGATGGTTATTGGAAAAATAAATCTGATTCTACCAGGTATTAATTTTCCTTATAAAGCTGAAATAGTTTTTCTTCGAAATTTTTCGGCTAAATATGAAAGAGTAAATTCTAGACACTGCTGTCTAATAATTTCACATAAAATGTAATTAACTAGATACATTTTATTTGCATATTAAATTATTATTAACTAGATCACGTATTATTTAACATTATTATTAACAAGATTACATATTATTTAACAACTTATCTCAACACTAAAAATGTCAGATTAGTCGAAACGAATACCACGCTACCCATTTTACCTTCATCAATGTATTATTTTATTAAGATATCTAAAATCTAACATTTGATACTGTAAAAAAAATCACGCATTTGTCAAATCATTCTCTTTTCTTTCAAAAAAATTGTAATACATATATATATGCAGGTTTTTTTTTACTGCAATAAAAAAAAAGTTTTTCGAGCGAGCAAGTAATTCTCACCTTGTAAGCATTGTCAACCAGTTTCGCTATTTCCTCGGTGTCCGTCATAGTTGTTTGCCACCAGCAGTTTCAACTTTCTACTCTGTTGCCACACAGCAGAATAAAATACACACAAAGAAATTTCCTCTACGGAAAGTACCGCTTGTGAACGGAAAAGTATTTATCCTTGGCTAGAGCCCGCGCATCCGGAAGAAAACATCCGCGCTCTTCGCCTCCATTCATCCAGAGGGAAATGCCGGCGCGGACGGACGATCAGCGGCAGCACGTGGATGCGTGACGTCAGTCGGCTCGCGCGCATTCGCCCAGAGGGCAGCGCTCAGAAGATTGAATGTCCAAGCGATGGTCTGTGCCACTCCCCGACTTGTAGAATGAAGTCATTTCACATTTCTAGAATTCTCGAAGCAAGAAACTCGATTGCTCAATGTCTATTGACAGAGAAATTGAGTTCTTCAGGCTTAGTCTTGGAGTTCAATGGACAGACATGAGTAAGGAAAGCAATTCCCGCTTAATACGTGATAAGAACCCCATTCAATTTATGTGGGACTATACTGAGACTCTATTTAATACTTTACCGAACCATTATTCTTCATATTCACAGAAAGTAATTTCAAAGCAGTCTTAAACCATACCCTAACACATTTCGGTATTCTACGTATATCTAATTTTAAACATAAGCAAATCATCACTTAAACTCTGAAATATATATTTTTTTTTTCATAATGAAGCGAAACATCTGGCTAAGATGGTAAATAACATTTATTTAAAACCTCAAAGAAGCTTGCTTCGGGTGTTTTCTGTTCACAAATTTTACATTCTGGCAAAATAGAAAGTATTGACATTTAAAAGAAATATTTGTTTCAAGCCTTAAATTAATCATCCGAATACACACAAACTATTAAATATGCACAAAATAATACATGATACATCTATGATCCTGTAATTTCCTGTATGTTAATGGGTTTTCACATAAAAATTCTAAAATTGAAATCATCCTTGACGTTAGTTTTAAGTAAAGAGGACAGTTTTCAGCATTTCCTAATGCCATAAAAATTCATGATGTCTTTTTCTAATAAAGTTTCCTTACGATTCACTCACTTTTACGTAAGCATCTGAAACAAAAATTTTAACTTCATAGAACCTTATAACCAAACGAAACACTGTAACATCATTAGATATATATTTTCAGGATTCTATATAATGTCATTGAATCCTTTAGCAGTTGCTTCTTTTCAAATGTACACGAACACATATTTCGATTAAAATGCTGCATAAATACCAATAATATTGAACACAGAAACACATGAGAATCAATTATGAGTACTTTTTTGCTGCTGCACTGCACAAAGTCGAGCTTGTTGCAGCTACAAAAGAGAGCTCTTGAACTGCTTCATGAGTTGCAGAATGAAATCACTTGATATGAGCTTTAGAATTAATAAATTCTAACATTTCTTTGACTTTTTATTTCCTTGTAAGAACTAAAGAAAATATTGAAATTGTGAAAAACTTCAGGTATCATATTTCAACGAAAATATGCCTTTTGATCAATCTCAAATCCATTTGAACGATATTTTACGTTACATCTGTACTTATGGACAGCATAAAAGCCTCTATTTTTACAAAACGGATTGTAAATGTGTTTAAAATGGATTCAAAAAAGATTTTTTTCGTGACGTCTGTACGTACGTATGTATGTATCTCGCATAACCTCAGAATGTTGAAATTTTGAGTATGGGACTGCTATAATATATTGTTGTGCACCTAGTATATATATATATATATATATATATATATATATAACCACTCTGCTACTCGGTTCGATGCCGTTATGTTCCGCTTAAGGTTTTTATGAATTTAATTAATCTGCATGCAATGGTTGTAAAATTATCAACAATTTGAGAGTTGTTCAAGTGCAACTAAGGCCCCATTTGTTTACATTTGAAACTCTTAGTAGAATAGCCTTAATTGATAACGCAGAAAAATGTTCATTATTTAATAGGTCGCCCAAGGAAATCATGTGATGTACGTATGATTATTTTTACTCTAAATTTAATTTTTTATTCTTTAATTATTTTATTTTTTTCTGGAAGGGGAGAGGGACTATGCTAAACCGTAATATCAGCAAACTGCTGCATAGTAGAAGAGAAGAGGAAGATTGCAAGACCAGATGCCTTGTAAACCTTTACATTTACAGATGTTTTATAAAATCCATAGGCACTGGTTTGTTAAGTGCTCTACCAGTTATTGATGTACTGCAGTTATATAGCAGATTTTTGGAGAAGGAATTTTCAACGCAACAGTTTTTTCATCTACACATACATCTAGAACTGCACAATAGTAATTCACAGACAGTTAAAGAAAGTAAAAAAAAAAATGTTACAATATGTGGACATTCCGTGATTTTTCAAACTTTTATAATGTTTTTACGTGAGTCCCCAATATGGCAGATTATAGGAATGAATATATATGAAACAATAAAGACATAAACAAAAGAAAAGAAAAAGATACGAATTGTTGCTGTTAATATATATGGTATTAACAAATAATATGACAAGGAAACAGAAATAAGAGAAATTTAATTTTTACAAAATTCGGTCAGAATGCGTGAAATTCTGCAAAACATTTTACTGTAGAAAGAAGCTTCATACTGTAGGTTTGATCATATGAAAGATGTAACGAATAACAGAACCAGAGAGTCTGAATCTTCTTAGAATAACTGTTCACGCATTTAATCTATAATGCAGAGGGGAAAACGTAATAAGCTGTTATTAAACAGTATATTACAGTTTAGATGCATTCTAACATCTATAGTTAGCGTATTAAGCATACATTTAGCGATGAGAATAAAATACTTTAAATAAATAAATAAAAGTCACTAGTATAAAATAAAGAATACATAATTTGTAGACATGTTAGAATTTTTTGAAGCAGGATATGTGAAAAATGAGTAGTGCTCTCGCCGGGACACGAACCTCGGACCTCTCGAATATGCTCCGAGCGTGTTGATCATTACACCATGAAGGCATGCTAAGAAGGCGGGAGAAATATCTTATGTATTTTCCCTTTTAAAGGGTGACTGGGGATTAGGGTACTCAATCGCCAAATACTGGTGGTAGAGAATTATCATCTACCACCTTTTTTATTTCGGGCGTCACTTTAGAGACATTAGGATTTTTTGAAGCAGAAGAGACATGAAAAATGAGAAATGAGAACCACAAGCCTCTCGAATACACGATGAGTGTGCTGGCCGTTACACCACGAAGGCATGCTAAGAAGTCGGGAGAAATACCTTATAAATTTTGCTATAAGATGAGCGTAGATTGCAAATTGGTGAAACGTTGAATAAGCGTACTCAGATCTTTTCAAATGCAGTGGGAAGTTTTGACTTCAATGATTTAAAATTATTATTATCTACAGAGAATTAGCAGCTAGTTTTAGGATATGACGATCTTTCTCTTCGTATGAAATTTCTTGTATTTACTTCCAAATAAATTGAGCATTTTGGATTGAAAGACATTTTTTGTTAGTTCATAGCATTTTTAAATCATTCATAGCAATTATAAGTTCTCTTTCAGATTTACATATTATGCAAATAAAATGTCCAAAAAATCCTAATATGAAATAAACATGCTTTTCTTTCCTTCGTTACCGAATATTGCATATGTTTTACCTACTGAATGTTAAATAATGTCACATTTAAAGATTTTTACGTATTGCTCTATATTTGGTAAGACGTTATGTGTTTTTCGTTATAACAAAACTCAGATTTCATGCTATTCATTCAAGTAAATGGAGGAATTAGGCTGTTGAGTTATAAGGCTTATTTCGGAGCAGAAAATAGGAAATATTAACAGTGGCTTCTCTGGGATTCGAACTCAGGACCTCCGGATTGCGAGGCGGACGTACTTCCAGTTACACCACGAAGGCTTGTGGTAAAGAAGTATAAAACTTCTTAAAAAACTACTTGATTCATTTTATAATTAGGAACAGCTCGCCGAATCTTAAAGAAAAGGTTTTATTTTGATTTCGAAATATGTAGCATTTCATGTAATCCAATATGTGATTTTTATATAACAGTTGTAAATGCTGTCATATAAAAATTATTGACAGTAAATATGAAATTCCATCATTTTTTCGAAATTTCTTTATACGTACCATACACTGAATTAAGTTTGTAAATTAAATTTGTAATAAAAATCATTGTAAATCGTTACAGTAAAAATTGGGGAGCATATCTAATAAAAGTCGAAATACATCTATCAAATTCTAGAGCTTAAAATTGTTCTACATAATTTCCATTAGGTAATTATAAACAATATCCATATAAAACGCAATAATTTTACCACGTTTTCTTGTTAAACGACTAGTAATCAAAACATTTTTCAAAATTTATTTCTCAGAATATATTTTTCTTTTCAGAATATATTTGAAATTAAGATTACGATATTTTATTTTAAAATCATCTACCAAAAATTAAATTATACGAAATAATGTAATCTACCTTTGTTATAGCTCTCTACGGAAAATTAAACCAGACTGATTCGTCAAGCATTCACTACTATATGTTTCATAATTATCGATTAGTCTTAATATTAATATATAATCATTATATTTATTTACCCCCATTTCCTTTTTATCCATTGCATATATCACAATCAATTTCAACATTTTATAGTTTGTATTTAGTATCTCTGAATACTTTTGCTTTAAATATCACTCAGATTCTCTAGCTTAACTTTTGAAAATTGTTTTCAGAGAGAAATACGACGACAATACGCGCTTAACAGTAACAGCTTTTCGAAATATTCCTAGGTTTTCATTTTAGAAGAAACATTCAAGGTTTGACAGTACTGCTTATAGGATAAAAATTTTTTTCAAAAAAATGGAAGAGCTTTTAGGTAAGGTAACACTAGCCGGATCATATCGCTTTTGTTTAGAGAAGGAATATATTTGAATGAAAATAGTTCTATTATTATAAACATCATATTTCCTATAAATATCTAGTATTCACGTAATTTGTAAGTAATAGTTGAAAGTTAAATTAGTATTGTGATGATTCATTTATCGCAATTTCGTATTTTTATGTATATTACACCTAAATTAGCACTGGCGAAAAGCTACTGTACTCTGAATGTATATTCAGAACTTCTTTCTGAATAATAGAAGATGGAACCAAAAAATCTCAGTTCTTTTTTTATTGTTCGG